TATCTTTATGCCATCCATGTTATTGATTCATGGACCAGATGTTTATTCTATAATCTCTATTCTAATTGTACGGCCCTATAAAATATTGGAGAATAAAATATGTATAAACAAAAGATAATGGTATGTCAGGGAAATTTTAAATAACAACATGTTGTTGGTCTGCATTGATTTTTACTCTCAGCTAAAACGGACCTCTGCTTCGACATAGGGAATGTTATTTTATGTCGAAGACAAAAACTCAAATCGACAAAATATATATATAAATTTTGAACAAAGAGAATTTTGGCCACGATATATTACCCCACATTAAATTCAACTATAAATAAATCTTTAAAAAACGGATGGTTATATATATATCCTTATATATAATGGAATTGTGGAATATCCTTTGAAAAATATATACTTCTGTTGACTCTCCGTTTTGTGCGCATTTGTAGACGAATCAACATGTGTTGTTCTTATAGAAATCCGATCATTTCTAACAGCCTAAATGATTACTCTATTTAAACCTTTGCAGTTTAAAATTTTATGCAGTTAGTTGGTTTGAAACTAAAAATTACATAAATTCTATATATCGTTAGTATAACTTCAATATGATATATATATATATATATACCAAAATATGTTGCGTTGAAAATTCCAACACACACACTTAAATTGATGAGATCTCGACGCCAGTCTAGCAATGAAACTATCAAAAAAAAAAAACAATGTAATGTTTGTGATGTTGTTCTCCAAGTGTGTTTTACGTCTCAAGGAAAATCTATAAAAAAGAGACAGTTGACAAAACAAGGACTTCGACCAAAATTCATGTTTAGGTTGATAAAAAAAAAAAAAAAAAATGAAAACTACAGACAAAAGTTCATTTTTTCTATTGACATTCATTTAATGTAGCTTTTGCCAACAGCAAGCAGAATTTTTTCTCCTGATGATGGCATTCCATTTAAAAGTTGGTAAACTAAATGAAGAATAATAAAACGAAGAATATTTTTATCAAATCGTTACTGTTTTTGAAGAAAATAATTCACAGTTATCAAAATCCGACAATTTATTTTTTAAAAGACATTTTTTTATTTTTCAATTCTTTTAAGATAAAAATATTTAAAAAATAAATGTTTATAATAAACAATATGAATACATTTAAATATATTTAATTTTGAGAAATTTTCATAGAAAATATGCGTCCTCCGACAGGAATCGAACCTGTATCCTATACGGAACCGTTAATCAGCCTTGAATGCTGTTTTTCGATTGGACGAACAGAAGGATGTTTGGAACAAGGTTTGATTTGCGGTTTTAAACTACAATTCTCCATGATTTTCTCTCATTCATTCATATCTGCTCAATGCGTATCCAAATTGTAAAATGACGTCAAACATTATGAATGGACAAAAGTCCCAATTATTTAAAACATTTTTTGTTTATTTGAAAAAATTTTTTAAATAAATATCTCGCGATATGACAGTAAATGTTGTTTTTTCTTTTTTCTTCATGGTTTTTTTAAATATTTGTATATCCTTAAGATATGTTTAAACATTCAAAAAAATATCTTTAAATTTTTTGAAGGTATAGTCTATCAAAATACACTTCTTTACATTATAATCCTATAATATTTGCGTATTACCATTAAATCCCTTTATTTTGTTTAAATAATACGTTATTTTTTAAATCACATATAAGTTTTGAGTTCAGAACTCAGACGCTATGTACTTGTTCAAAATAATCGACTTCATAAATTTATTTGGATATTTTGAAAATTATATATCCATATTCGTTTTATCTTGTTTTGGAATATTATCTTTTCAAATCTTTATGAAATATATATCATATCATATATAAATATAGTTTTATAAAATATTTTGATTAATATATTAATTTTTTTCATTTTTTTTTAAATTGTTTCTTTTTGTTTTGGATATTTTCTTAATTTATTTTTATTATATATTTTTAAGGTATTTATCATATATATTCGGAACTTTTTATATTTTCCCATGGAAAAAGTGTTCCTTTTGAAAAGATTTATACAAAAATTTTTTCTTCAAAAATGAATTTTTTAAAAATATACTATACAACTGTATCCAAAATTTGCTATCCAGGAATTATTTTTTTTTTTCTTCAAGTAATGAATGATTTAACATATAAAACCTTGAATATTTTTATATATTTTCAATGATTTAAGTATTTGTTTGATCGTACTTCAAAAAACATACCATATATATATATATATATATATATATATGTATATATATATTATGTGTGTGTTTGTGTATTTCACGATAATAGTCTCAAACATCCTGTCATATATTCATTAAAACGAATAGGAATCAGTATCTGATATAATTTTAAATGAAAAAAATTTTTTATTCGTTATAAAACAAATCTATATAAATTCTTTCGGAGTAAAGTTTCATTCTACTGTCCAAATGTTTTTATTTTGTTAAAATTGGAAAATATCTTTAGAAATTAATATTTTTAACATTATTCAGAATTGATTTATGTGCCTTTAATTCAACTTTTCCTTAAATGTTTAGTAATTCTTTTGCCTTTAATTTGAATTTTGTTTCTGGATGTACATTCCTGCCAATTTTTCGTTAAAAATTTAATATATTGTTGCTTTTTTTTTTTTTTGTTCGTGTTCATCATTTTAGTCTTATTTTGCAGACCAATCAAATTATATAAGATCGAAGCCATTCAAATTAACGTTCTCCTGAAGTTCTTGTCAAACATAATATTAATTTAAGGATATAATCAGTATGCCGATGTTCTAATTAATATATATATTCATTAATAAATGCATATTGCATTTCCCAAAACAATAAGAATATTTTATCTTTTGGTTTGACATGATTTTTGGCCCCATATTTTTGATGATTTTATCCACTTTATCAATCTTCAAACTAATACATCTGTTCAAACAACCAAAGTCAGTTTGAGAGGACATTGAAAGGCTCATATCGTTTTTTTAAAGTCTCGACATCGAAATTTGCTGATAATGGTTGCTGGTATTTATCAATTCCTATTTTCATGGAAAAAAATGGATAAATTGAAACTCAGGTTTTTTATAATGGTTTGTATTTAACCAACTGATGATTCTTTCAAAATTTTTGGTTTCTCTTTTGTTTGAAATTTACATAACAAACAAACATTCCATTGTTTCCGTTCCACGTTATTTTCAAATTTTTTGACAAACACAAATAAAACATAAACGGACCAACTTTGTCCTTTAAACAATATTTTTCTAGTTTATTAAAAAATTTGAAATAAAGGATTGACAATGACATTTCCATTCAACTGTGGAATATATATTAAATGAAAATGTTTCTGGAAAATAATTCTCAATTATTTTAAATAAATTTTCATCATTTAATATCATTTTAAAATAGATTTCAAATATTTAATTAAATGCTAAAGCCTAACATATTAAAACATTTACCATATTTTAATTTCGTCCTGAATTTTCATTAGAAAATATTTCGTCCTCATGGATTCTTCTTTTATCCTATAAAGACAACCACTGGAGAATATGATTCCCTATTCGATTAACGATTTAAAAATGAAGGGCGTTTTTCTTGTTAAAGACGAAATGTCTATATTTAAGGAAATGATTAGATCACCGTACATCTTATTTGTTTGGGGTGAGGGGTTTCCATTCAATCGATAATTATTTACGATAATTTCTTTACATTTTAGTCTATACTTCATCCATTTTCCTTTCCCTATTTAAAGCCTTCTAATCAAAACGTCATTTATAAAAATATTCATGCAAAACATGGAACATTTTTAATCCGTAACATATGTGGATTTTTTTAGTGATTCCATATATTTCCTCATTTTATTTAATAACTAATTTTTTTACTAATATGACAAATTTCTGTCAATATTGGATTTTTATTCCTTTCAATTTGGTATTTGCCCCCTCTCATATCCAAATGGTGAATACGTTACAACGTTTCTCTTTACAGAGATCATTATTTCTATAAGATTTATTTCCTTAATTAGTAGAATCGGAATATTTTTCATTGATTATCCTATAGTTACAACAATTTTTTTTATTTTCTTTTAACATATTCTTGTCCATAAAATTTTTTACAATCATTCTTACGTTTTCCAAAATCCTGACCTCTCTTTGTTTTACTGCTGATTTTTTTATTTCACATTTTTTCTCTCTTTGAAGGAATCCAAATTTATTGTTTTCGTTGCCTTCTATAGACACCTATCCAGGTTAAAAAATGAAATCAGCTATTAATAACATTTTCTTCACAAAGAAATTACTTCTCAACATGACTATTTCCGTATTTGTGCTCCTGTTATTCCCTCCATTTTCTTCCCCCGGAAAACAAAAGGAAATTGTTTTATCTAAAGGTTACTTTAAAAAAAAGAAATATTTCTTCATCGATTTTCAAAATCTGTTTTCTCAAAAAATTCCGAAATTTATCTTCTTGTTTCCGTGTCACTATTTTATTGATAGATTTTTAAATCTTCTTTTTCATAAATCAGAAATTCCCTGATCTTTTTCATTTCCTAAAAAACTTGCTACTTAACCATATCCGTATACATTGTCTTCGGTGGAGTTGACTAGATTTCACTATTTTTCAGACTGTCAACCAACACACATCTATTTACACTGGGGACAAACAATATATATAATTGTATAAATAAATATAAAATATATATATTCCTATACTGTTTTATTATCAAATTTCTTTGAATAATAAAAAAATTCAAATTTCTGAATTCTTTTCCAATTTGAATTTATTAAAATTCTTCATATTTTTTTAAAGCAGTTTATCGAAACAAAACTTCCCATTAAAATGTTTAGATAAATTAGAAAAAAAATGTTCAAAAAATACAAAAGATAAATTTAATAATTGAATAAGATATTGTTAGGTTCATAGCAACATTTATTTCCACGGGAAGAGATATATTTAGATTATATAAACTAAAAATTCCAATTATATTCTGCCACTATCAAATGTATAAATTTAAATAATACAATAGATCTAGATAGATAGATTCTTAGATAGAATTGAATTTATTAATAATGAACAACTTAGATGATAGATTTTGAACAAATTTGTATATAAATGAATAGATTTGAATAGATAGATATTTAGATGAACAGATAGATAGATAGATAGATGAATGATGATTTGATATATGACATGGATGGATGAAAAAGATAGATAAAAAAACTGAATAGATAGATGGATAAATAGATGGATACATTTGAACAGATTGATATGATAGATAGATAGATAGATGGATGGATGGATAAATAGATAGATTTGAACAGGATGAATGATTGAAAAAACAGATTTAACTGATAGATAGATAGATAGATAGATGGATAGATAGATAGATGAATGAATGGATGGATACATTTGGATTATAGATAGATATAATAGATTTGAATAGATGGATGGATGGAATGATGGATAGATGAATGAATTTGATGAATAGATAGATGACGAATGGATGGATGGATAGATAGATGGATGGATGGATAGATAATGGCGATGAATGATAGATTTGGATGGATGAATAGATGGATGAATAATGGATAAATAGATAGATGAATAGATGGATAGATAGATGGATAGATGAATGGATGAATAGATTCTAGATAGATAGATAGATGAATGGATGGATGGATGGATGAATGACATAGATGGATCTTGAAGACAGAATGAATAGATAAATAAGATGTGGATATACAGATGAGATGGATGGATGGATGATAGATGGATGGATGGATGAGATAGATAGATGGATGGATGGATGGATGGATGGATGGATGGATGGATGGAGGATAGATAGATGGATAGATAGATGGATGGATGGATGATGGATGGATGGATGGATGGATGGATGGATGGATGGATGGATGGGATGGATGGATGGATGGATGGATGATGGATGGATGGATGGATGGATGGATGGATGGATGGATGGATGGATGGATGGATGGGATGGATGGATGGATGGATGGATGGATGGATGGATGGATGGATGGATGGATGGATGGATGGATGGATGGATGGATGGATGGATGGATGGATGGATGGGATGGATGGATGGATGGATGGATGGATGGAAAATGGATGGATGGATGGATGGATGGATGGATGGATGGATGGATGGATGGATGGATGGATGGATGGATATGGATGGATGGAGGATAGATGGATTTACATGGATGGATACAGCTGGATGAGTTAGGATAGATAGTTAAATAGATAGATGGATGGATGGATGGAATGAATGGATGGATGGATGTAAAAAAAAGGTTAATCCCAATAATATGGACATTGGTAATATATAGATATATATATATATATATATATTGACTGATTAAAGGATGGATATGGATGGAGTGGATGCGATCATAACTCTTTGGATTCGTTATTTGTTTTTAGTTTATTCTTTGTGTATTCTTGGGGATTTTGGATTGGTTTTTTTCCAAGACTGGATGGTTCGTTTAATGAATGGTTTCCTTCTTTTGAAAAATTTATTTCATTAACATGGATGAGGCAATTCATGGTTAGCTTTTAGTATATTCCCAGATGGATTGGTTTTTGGATGGATAAATTGAGTTTTAGATGGATGGATGCAGTGTGATGGAAATTGTGGATGGATGGATGGATGCCCAAAGAGTTGAGAGAATGACTATGGATGGATTCCGCGTGGATAAAATGAAACTAAATTTAAGTGACAAGATAAACATTGATGGATCCTATGGATGGATGGATAAATTCTTCAATAAATGGCTCTTTATTTAATATATATGTAATTCAAATATAGTTTGAAAGTGTCTTTTTATCTACATATACCAATCATTTCTTAATATTCCTTCGACCGATAATAAACAATTTCTATATATCCTCATATATAATTCACTACATAGATATATATAATACACACACACACATTCATATAATAGCATAATCTTTTATTCTTCAATAAATATATAATGTGTCTCTTTGTGATGTTTACTCTGAATAGTTTCTTTTCTTTCTATTCGACAGGTGAAAGATTATCCATTTGAGAAACATTCGCAGTCATGTTTCTATCCCATGTAAAATTAAAATGCGATGAAGATGTTCCATTCTGTTTTTTTTTTTTTTTTCATAATACCTATAATATAAAAGTTTTTGTAGTTCTGTGTTTGCTATGATTATATTTTTTTTTGTGTTTCTTTAAAATATATCTTCATTGATTATAGGTTTTTCAATAATATCTGTCAATGCTTATTTGCATCATTTATTGTTTTTTTCTTTTTTGTTTATAAAAAATAACCAAACATATGTGTTATCTAAAATTTTCTATATATATATAATAAATATGTATGTAAATATTTTGTCCATTTTATATATGTAATAAATTAAAAGAAACCTGTGTGTGTGTTTTTTTGAAAATTTTCTGTAATTCGTTAAAAATAAAATTAAATTACACCATAAATAGCAAATCTTCTTGTTTTGACGTTGAAGGTTTTTCCAGGAATATAATTGTTTTATTCTCGCATGACAGAATTTTATGTAAAATGTTTGGTCGAATCTTCAAGTCACATATCTATGCAGTATCAATAAAAACAAACTATTTTTTTTTTGAACCGACTACATAATGGAATCTAAACAGTTGTAATATACGATCAATCAGTGTTTTTCGATTCATTAATAGCCTCGTCATTTTATTTCATCTTTATGAAGCGAATAACGATTTAATTACTTTTGAATAAAATTATCTTTAAATTTAAATAAAAGTATCTTTTATTTTGAATAAAGGTGTTTTTTATATTGAATAAAAAAATCTATTCAATGAATAATGGTCTATTCTTCTTGAATAAAAAAAAAATCTTTACTCTGAATATAGATATCTGGCTTATAAAAATCTGTAAGACGCCGGGGTTGGAAAAAAGCAGCCATGTTTCTAGAAATGGTCAGCCAAAATGAGATGAAGAATGCTTCTGCCACATTTGAGAACCAAATAAACATTGGGCAAATGTTTTTTCGCCAACTACATAAAATTATTATCCAAAAATATTTTATTAAGGAAGTTAAAACTGTTTAGAACGGTACCTTTATCTTATAATCTAGAAGCTTGAATCTGTTCTGTTGTGACATTTTGAAAAAATCTTTTCTTAATTTTTAAAATTAAAACCGAATGTTTCTAAAATGCAATCTGATTCAATTCAAACACTTATTTAGTATTTCATTTCTGAGATGATTAATTTTCGAACTATAGTTCTCATCTTTGTTTTTATATTATTTCAAGTATATGGCGTCCTGGGTAAGACGATAAACTACAACCGACAGTAAGACCTTTGATTAGGAGGTTTGAGGATTTTCAAAAAATACCTCTTAATTGCTGATGTTCCCATGTGGTAGCACCTATCAGGAACCCAGCTAAAGCAAATAATTAACTCCACACACCTAAACAAACATCCTTCTAAAAACAAACACATGGCCGGAAAAATTTTTTGATACCAGAAATACGTTTTTACGATTATTAAATTTCCATTTTTGAAAAAAAAAAATATTACCAACCAATACATTTTTGGGAGAAAAAAATTATTAACACAGTATAAAAAATCTTGTCGGTATTAAATAACCCATTCAGATCGGTATGCCGTAAAATGAAACAGAACAAACCAAACCATCATGTATATGATCGCTTATGGTCGTAGGGTCACTGCGTAGTAGAGCGCCAAACCAGTTCTCTCTACATACCTGGGTTGATAGTCAAAAAGGTATTCATTGATGCAAAGCATGTATTAGGCAAGTAGACCTAGCGGATCCCATCTCACTCCAGGTCAAACCATTGTTACTTTCTTCCAATTTGAAGGCTTATCTTGGCCACGACCACGTGACTGTTGATTCTAACGGGGAGGCCTCCGTCCACTATGCCACCATGTCGAAGGTGATACTGAATCGCTGGGCAGATGGTTTCCTAAGCAGAAGTCAACGGCGTAGTGCATATATGAGTTGGTTATACATACTATAATGTCATCTAATAGGCCTTTGGGATCAACCTTAATCTGAATAGATGGTGTACAATATCAATCGACAGCACCGATATCACAAATTCCGATATGAAAAAAAAACAAGATATCCTGTATTAACCAATCAACAGGTATCTGACGATGACCAGAGGTTACTTGGTCGAAACGTTGTGTCTATAATTCAATCTATATAAACAAAGATTAGTGCTATAGTTAAAAAATTACTCATCTCAGAAAATGAAATACTAAATTATTGTTTGAATTGAATCAATTGCAAACGTTTTTCAGATAATTTCTTCGCCATTTCAAAGATTTTTTTCAAATGCCAATAATAAAAAAGACTAGATTAGATATTTGGTTTGTGTTTTGTTTTAAAAATCTATCAACATCAATGTGTTATTTAATGCCGACAAGATTTTTAGAATAGATTAGATTGGTTTATTTTGTTTTACGACATATCAACATCAATGGGTTATTTAATGCCGACAAGATTTTTAGAATAGATTAGATTGGTTTATTTTGTTTTAGGGCATATCAACATCAATGGGTTATTTAATGCCGACAAGATTTTTAGAATACATTAAAATGATTTATTTTGTTTTATGGCATATCAACATCTATGGTTATTTAATGCCGACAAGATTTTTATTGCTGGTAATATTTTCCCAAAAATGTATTGCTGGTAATTTTTTTTTTTTTCAAAAATGTATTGCTAGTATTATTATTTTTCAACAAATGTATTGCTGGCAATTTTTTTTTTTTTTTGGGTTGTATTGGTGGTAAAATTTTTTCTTTTAAAAAATTAAAGCAATATTTTTTTTTTTACAAATGTAAAGAACAACCATTTTTTTTTTTTTTTTAAATTGTATTGACTGGTAATTTTTTTTCAAAAAATGTATTGCTGGTAATATTTTTTCCAAAAGTAAATATCAATAATGTATTTTAGTAATAGATTTTCTTCGAAAATTTTTGATGCTAATATGTATTTCAAAAAAATGTATTGCTAGTATTAAAACCTATTTTTACACGTTTTTACATATTTTACCCATAGCTGGGACCCTAACAGGTGTCACCATCCCGGGGTCAGGGTAAACCTGGGAACACCAGAAATTAAGATGTGGTTCCATGCTCCTCAAACCCTCCTTATCAGAGGCCTTCCTGTTGGATATAGTTCATCGTCTTACCCAGGACGCGGATGTAGTTTATCGTCTTACCCAGTACGATAACTTTAGCTAAAATGAAATCCTTCAATGTCTTTTAGAGAAATATATGCCTTACTGTGTTTCTCTTATATGATTACAAGCAACAGAAGATTGGAATTTAAAAGACTAGGACAATGTTTTGATTTTAGAAAAGTACGAACCTATCTACCCCTATGGAGGAAAAATAAGTAAATAAACTTTCCAGGCTTTTAAAGAGTTGTGTAATCATAAGGAACCGAAACCCAATTCTGAGAATAAACAAGGGATAAACCTCTCCTGATAACAAAAACATTGGAAGAGTGTGAACCAAGATTATGCCCTATCTCAAATTGAGCAAATATTGCTGAATAAAGTTTCAGTGTTTATGCGGTGACGTTAGAAGTAAAGAATTGATATAGATGTTTTCAAATTTCTGGGGAGATATTTTCGTGTACACCGGCAATCGCTGTCTTTTTTCTCAACGAAA